CCCCCCCCCTCCAAGCCCAAATACAGACGCTGCTCCGCTGGGCCGGGGGGCCTCCCCGCCGCCAGGACCAGGGACCCAGGACCGGGGGCCTCCCGACCTGCCAGGACCAGGGACCCAGGACGGGGGGTGGGGGGAACTTTCCTCCCACTAGGACCAAGGACCCAGGACCGGGGTCTCCCCACCTGCCAGGACCAGGGACCCAGGACTAGGGGGAGGCTCCCTGCTAGCCAGACTAGGGGACCTTCACTGCCCACCAAGACCAGGGGACCTCGGGACCTCCAGCGCCCAGCAGGACCGGGGACCTCGGGACCTCCACTGCCCTCCGGGATTGGAGGACCTCCACTGCCCTCCAGGACTAGGGGACCTCCAGTGCTCGGCAGGACTGGGGACCTCCACTGCCCTCCGGGATCGGAGGACCTCCACTGCCCTCCAGGACTGGGGGACCTCCACTGCCCACCTGCTGGGCCCCACTCCGGGTCCGAGTGGTGAGGGCCGTGGCCAAGCCATCTGTGAGGGTGCCGGCGGGCCCTGCGACATCTGTGTGTTATGGTCGGAACAGAAAGACTTGGGTTTTAATTTAATTTATTTCCTGCTGTGGTGACTCTGGGAAGGCAGAGGAGCCACGGGTCTGGCCACTCGTCTCTGGTCTGCAGCCCACGGGTCAGGTCCTGGCTAGGGTCCACCTGGGCCCCTGCCCTGGGACAGGCACGTCTGAGCCAGGGTGAGTGGTGCGTACCCTGGCTGTCCGGCCGGGACCCCGTGCCCACTCCCTCCCTCCTGGTGATCGGCCCCAGCCGCCTCTCGCCTGCCCCGCACGGCGCCCACTGCAGCCTCTCCAGGCTGAGCGCGAGACCCACGTGTGTACATAGAGCCGGCACGTACCTGTGGACGATGGGGCCTCCTGGGCCCCGTGCGGGCCTTTGGTTTTGGTGGGGTGGGTGGACACTTAGGGTAGACGCCGCACTTCGCAATAAGCTCGTTTTGCCGGAGCCGCCCTCCCTCCCCTGTGATCCAATCACATTTCTGCAAAGAAAAACAGAGAAACGGGGAGAAACGGAGGCCCTGCCCGCGGCGCGCCCATGCAGGCTCACGCCTTGCCTGCCCTGTCCTGTCGGCACCGCCCGCAGACTTTTATACGAATTCTGCACAGGTCCACGCGGCCGGCGCTCCGGTGCTAGGGTGTGAGTTTTGTAGGGCGGGCCGGGCCGTAGGGCCACGCCCGGAGCTGACCCCGCGGCCTCCCGGTCCCGTCGCAATCAACTTTGGATTCTGTATTTTTTTATAATAAAATGAGCATAAACCTCGCAGCGTGTGTGTTGGGGTTGACCTTCAAGGCGGGTCTGGGGTCCGCCAGGGAGAGGGGGTGTCTGGCCGGGAGTTGGGGTCCTGGGACAAGCGTTCATGGGACACGTGTCCTTCTCAGCTGTCCATGGGCCTCGGCATCCCCTCCTGGGGCAGGCGGGGGGACGAGGGGGCGATGGCCTGGCCTGGCTGCTCCGTGGGGTGCG